TGCTTTAGAAAGAATAGAACAGTCACTATGTAAAATGTGAACTGTTATTGCTACAGTCAACCTGGAACATAATCAAACAGGACTGTAATAAACTGTTGGCCCACTTTTAAAATAACCCACTCATAAATCGGATAGTTCTTTCTATTTAAAGATGTTACTTCATTTTACATTTATCTTTAGCAAACATTTCAGGTCTGAATGACATCTACTTTGCTTTTATGACTTCACAACTGTCTTTTTCCCCCGTGTCTCAGATCCCTGGTGGTAACTAATGAGTATCTGCTGCAGCAGCTGAATAAAGAGCAAAAAGGTTATTCTGGGAAAGCACTCCTGCCTCCTGAGAAGAGTCATCATTTGGGGAGATCATCACCCTTTGGGAAAAGCATGCTGTCTTCCTCCTCACCAGTAGCACATGATATGGGTCAGTATTTAATACAGACTGTTTCAGACTCTGCCCCAGAGCCTAGTCTATGGAGCTAACACTGTGCACCTTTTTTGCAGCTTGTCTCTCAGCCCCAGGGGGTTCTCAATGTCATTACCACTAGTATGGTGGTATTTTCCCACAAGATTAAGAAAAAATCTTAATTACACTGTATTGGTCTTTCTTTTTATTTTTCTTTTTATCTCCTCCCATCAAGTCATTCTTTCCTTCTGCCCACATAAATAGTTGGCACTTAGTCCTAGGCATCATATCACATAGGAACACTTGACTGGAAATGTCAAAAAGGAAAAAAACACTAGATATTTTTCCCAAGTGTCAGTTGAAACTGTGTAGTAGGAAGTTAGAAAAGAATATCCATGGCCAGGTATGTTTTGTGTTAGAAGAAATTTCAGAGAATCTCTATTGATCAGTTCATCAAATGTGTTTTGGGTTTCCTCCCATCATAGTTAAAGGTGACAAGGTCTTATGTTTTCCCTGGAGCAGCCAACAGTTTAGTTTTAGTTGTGTGATGGAGTTCAAAGTTTCCATTGGTACCAAACAAGCCTAAATAAAAGCCTAGAGAGACACTGGAAAGACAGAGAGTAGGTAATTCCTACTCTGGAGAATTGGAGGTGTCAGTGAGGACTTGTTTGAGTGGAAGATGCAAAATGAGTATAATGGTACCAGGTACAGAGGGGTGCAGAGCCTCCTAGACCAAGGGTACAGGGTAGAAATGTCTGGGCCCCCAGGGATCACTGGGCAGGGAAAATGTAGGTCATGGTGCCATGAAGTATGTAACTAGGGGAACTTCCTAGCTTTGGAGGGAGGTATGATGTCAGGAATATGTCCCCTAAAGAAACAATCTTTCAACCAAAATCTTAAAAATTGGAATGGAAGATCAGGCAAACATAAGGTTGAAGGCAGAGGCAGTGGGGAGAGCTGCAGAGAGAAATAGCGTAAGTCAAGGCCATGGAATGGGAAGAAAGTGCAATCAGGGGACAGAAGGCCCGAGAAGAGATACATACCGTCTACGCTGCATGGCTGCTTAAGGATTTTAGATTGGGAAGGCAGAGGGGTAGTAGATTTGTGTTTGAAAAGCTTTCTTTGTGGAAACAGTGGATTGATGTCTGGCCATGTGGAGTGGGCTAGATCAGAGAGGAGCTAGAAAGATGAGAGAGAAGGCTGGCTCAGTCCAGACCAGAGGTGCAGCCTCTGACAGTTTGCTCTGAACTCAGCATCCACTTTACACATGAATACCTGGTATTTCAGACTGAGGATCAATCTTTTCTTTAATCCTGATTGATTAGGGAATGGTTGAATGGGAAAGGATAATGAAAGTGATTCTTGTCTTTCTGCTTTAAAGTTGCCCAAGTAGCTCATGTTGCCAGAGAGCTCTAGAGAGTGAAGGACTGTCAACCTAACATCATATTGTACTTATCTTCATCTTCAGGGTCATGTCAGAGAGAGAGGAAGGTGGAAAGATTAGACACTTACTTGCTCCCCTTATCCAGGTGCTGTGCAGGGAAGGAGAGCTATGCTGTAATAATGAGACATGAAAGTCACAACTAAGAGCACACATCTCTAAGTTAAAATCTACAGACCTTTTGACTTCATGTGGGTTCCCAAAAGGAGCATGTGCAGTGGAGCCATAAGTTTCTTTGTGCGGCATGACTCTGAGGGAGCTAAGAGTGAGCTCATTTTCTGTGGAAGTGTCAGTAAGGACAGCCCCCCAACTCTACTTTGCTGGTCCTGTCTTGGCTTCATTGAGAGGCCTCCAAAGAGCCTAAGTCTTGCTCAGGTAGTGTAGCCTTAGTCAATAGCCTTATGGCCCTATGTTGTCCTATTTCATGGTCCCAACCCAGTGCACAGGCCAACTTACTTGACAGCCAATAAGGTTTAGGGGAGGTGGGGACAGGGATAATGTGCTTCTTTCTACAACCCAGGCTCACTTCCTTCTCCTATCTGATAATGCCAACCTGGAACCTATTCAGAGTACCTCTAAGGAGAAGCAAAGAGCCTGACCAAGACTAAATCACCTTCCACCCTATTTTCTATTATCACCTAAAATGGCCATTACTGCACTAGGCCAGGCTCCTCTCTAGGTTTGCTGGTCATTCCTGCAGAAGTCAACTATGGTTCTGATTTTCCCTGTGTGGCCTTGGTCCAGGGGGCAGCAGTAGATTGGTGGCATCAAGGGAAGGGCCAAAGTGTTATTGCCCAATGGGGCTAAGTGGGCTCAACATGAAGCAGGGGAAGTCCCCTGAAGCAAGTATCAAATAGAAAATAAGTGGAGAATTCCTCACCCTGGACCTGGGACTGTTGGCAGAAAGACAGAAACAAGGCTGGCATGGAAAACAGGTCCTCAGGGAAGTTCTATGCCCAAAAGGAGAGGCAGGGCCCCCTGACAGGTTTCAGCTTCCTACGAGCTATACATAGTGGGTTCTGACAGCTCCATCCCACAGATCCTAACCTTTCTTCCTTGCCCAACTGAGTTTGCTAGCAAGGGTATCCAAACCTGTCCACCATGAGGAGCTGTGGGGAATAGAGCAGTGATAACCGAAGGGCTGAAGTTGCATTGTTTGGTCAGTTGCTGCCAGGAACCAGATTCTACTAGACTAAAGGTTTTCTGGCTCTGGGTTGGCCTTGATTTCTTCCAGGTTCCATAACCACTTTTCAAGAAGAGGAGACTTTACTCCTACAAGGTGGAGTTTCAGGACTCAGCCAGTTAACTTTCTGGGCTCCCCTAAGCCACACTGCCAATCACAGGAGGGGCCAGCATGCTGCTCCCATATGTACTAGACAGTCATCTCACCTGCAGCTTAATAGCCTGGACCAGGCCAATTTGCAGGATTTGGATTTCACTCCTGTTAGGCTCATTTAAGTAAACTTGCAATTTAAACCAATTCCCCAAGGCTGGAGGAAGCATTCCTCTTACTACTTGCTGGTGGGAGAGGTAGAGCTCTCCGAAACTCTTCTCTGAGCAAGGCAAGGTCAGCTGAGTCAGGAGATCCCACAGCTGTCAGCCATTAGGCAAGGCTCTGCTGTGATCAGGTGATGGTCTCTGTTCTCTAATTTTTCACTTAATCGCCAGAGTCTCTGTTTCAAGTTTCACTACCCCTCTAAACCCCTGCTCCAAGTGACTTTGGGCTCAAGGGACTCTGGGGCCACCTGGGGCAGAAACATCCCAGAACAGCTCAAGGGATGAGGAAATAAATAGTTGTGCTGCTTTGCTTTGTTATCTGAGTCAGGAAAGAAAATATTTGTGAATGTGTGCTTCTTAAGTCTTTTCTAGCACCGTTGCTAGAAATGGACAGTCCCTAAGTTCCATCGAGTCTACTTGTCAGCAGAAAGGAAGGAGAGTTTGCCCCAAAGCCTTAGACTAGGGAGTAACTCTGTTCTAACATTGAGAACCTAGAGGGGAGAAAAGGTTGATCTGGAAGCCCCCAGGGTTTTTCAGGACCAGAGAAAGACACCCCTTCCCATCCAGCGTGGGGTGGTTAACAGATGGGAGGGGATCAGCAAGAAGAGGCCCCTTCACTGTTGGACACCCTGCTTGCCTGTCAAAGGCTGATGTTGAGTGCCAAGTTCTATCACTGGGCCTCCAGCGTCATTTTTGGAAATCAGTGTTGGGGCTTGCTGTGTTAGAGCCTAGCCAGGGAGACAGAGACGTGCTTCTGGCCTCTATACTACAGAAGCTCCTTCACTCTTAGGGCCTGACTTTCTTCCACTATAAAATTGGGTGTTGAACATCTACTGCCTAAGGTTCTTTCTGGTCTTGCATTTTCTGAATTTCTGAGATGCAGCCCAAAGTGACTCACCTTGGTGGCCCCCTGAAGTGGAGGCCTGTCAGCAAGCTTAGAGCTGAGGCCTGGCACTGGGCCCCAGCAGTGCTTAGCCCAGGCTGAGTTTGCTGTCTCATCCCTCCCCCTGCTGTGAAAGCAGAGAGGCCAAGACTGAGGCCCTAACTGTGGGAAAGCAGGCATGCTGTCAGAGCTCTTGGTCAGGGCTGAGGTAAAGGCTTTTGATTTCCCTCTGGAGCATCCCCAGGCAGCCTGACTTGGTGCTAATGGAAGGGGTCTGGTATGTGTCTCTTTCTGGGCAGGGCTGCCAGTGGAAGAATCAGCAGTGTGTGACATGGAGGGGGTTGATGACACTGAGAGGTCATCGGGATGTGAATGTCATTACCCTTGTTGTCATATACCTGAACAGTCCATATTGGTACAAAAGGTGTCTTTATTGAGGTTCGGGAAAGAATTAGGCACTTGGCCAGAGCAGCAGCTTAAATATGAGGCAAGCAGGCAGGGGGTTAGCCATGCCCGGGGCTAGGTTGGGTTGGTGAGGCTATAGGCACAGACTTTCCTCAGACAGAGAGGCTGAGGAGGAAAGAAAAGGGGGAAGGGGACGCAGAGCAGTCTGGGTCAGAGGCCTGGTGAGCTGGCCCTGAAGGGCTAGGCAGGAAGCGCTGGGTGGCAGATCCAGCAAGGAGGGGACCGGGCTCTCTTGCTCCACGTGCCCCTTAGGCCAGCCAGGCCTGAGCCTCTGGCAGGGGCAGTCGCGCTGGGGAGGGCCTTCCTAGGCCTCACTTCTTCACCTTGGCATCATAGGTACCTGCATTCTTGTAGGCACTCACGTAGCCACTGTCATCCAGGATGTCCTGCCGCCCAGCAATACCCTTGCCCTTGCCACTCTCATCAAAGCGTTCCTTGTGGGAGCCCGTGTACTTGCTGGTGTCAGTCAGCCGTTCCACAGCACCCCCTGTCTTTGCTTTCTGTTTGAACAGAGATCCCCCCAGGGGTACCTGGTTAGAGAGCCCAGCCCTTCCAACCCCAGCCAAGATTCCTGCCCCTGCCACCCGTCAGTGGTCACTCAAGACCATCAGGGCACTTACAGTAACGCCTACGTTGGCTGGTTCCTTGCCTGCCACCAGCTGGCAGATGGCATCAAAGGCCTCCTCCTTGCTCTTCCCCTTAAATCGCTTGGGTGCCAGCTCTTCTAGGGCCTTCTTGAACTCCTCGTAGTTGATGACCCTGGCAGACTTCGCCCTGCCAGATATGTGGACACCATGAGTTTGCCCCCTGCCCCACAATCTCCCTGGTTCCAGCCCCCCAATTCCCCTTCTGGGAACATCAGAAGCAGGAAATGCCTGGGGCTCACTTGACTTTGGAGAAGACGATGTCGACATCGGTCCCTGTCACAGCCTTTCCGTCAGCCACCTTGCAGTCCTTGCACAGCTTGGCCCAGTTCTTGCCATTCATCTCATGCCCACTGGCCTTGGGGTCACCATGGATGGCAAACTTGCGGAAGCTTTCCTCCAGCCCAGCCAGATCTGTGCTCGCTGCCATGCCACCCTGTAGGGACCCACCTTGGTTACCTCCCGGCCAAGTTCTTCCCCCTTCCCCCAAGGTTCAGAGTATCACTGCCTCTAGCTCAAAACCTGCAAGGTTGAAGTTTCAGGCACTGTGCCACACACTCTCAGAGCTGGAGATGGAGCTGCCTGAGAGGCACCAGTATTCAGTGTCTGACTGGGCCCCAGAGTCATGAGGAAGAGCACTGAGAGGAAAGGTCCTGTCACTTAATGCCAGCCTTGGCTCAGAGTGGAGTTCAGAAGATGAAATCATGATCCTTGCACCAGGCTGGGAACAGAGTGGCACTGTCCAGAAAAACTATGAGGTCTGCAGCTGGGGCTATGGCTTTGTCTGGCCCTGGCACAAGGCCTGCTTGGGTGGAAGTGAGGGTGGCAGGTCAGGCCCCCTCCCTGTGAGTTTCATGCCAAGCTGGGTCAGGCCCTGGCCAGACTGCTGGTTGAGCAGGTATTTAGTGAGGACGGTGTCTCTGTCAGGGTCATGAGGACTCAGCCCAGGCTGAGAAGGGAACCAGAGCACAGTCAGGGTGCATGCCCCAGGCAGGGGTGCAGCTGGCCCAGCTGGGACCTTGTTACTATTTGCTGTTAAACAAAAACATGAGGGAAGGGGGAACTTGGGGCTGGCCTGGCCACAGTTTGTGAAGCCTGGAGACAGTTGCTAAGGGAGGGTGGTGCTGCTTGGAGAACGTTGCTAAGGGCAGGATGGTGTCAGGGCGGCTTAGGGAGAAGCTCCCAGTGCTGCTGGGCTGGGCTGGGCTGGAGAATGGGCTTACGGGTGGGGCACACCAGCACTCCCAGCACCTGGGGCACAACCATGGCTTCCTGGCCCCTTGCCAGCCACTGGGGTTGTAACCTCACAGTTTGTGGAGTTTAGGAGGAGCAGGAGATTGTGGGGGGCTAACCTGAGTGGGGGTTGTATTGTTATGAGCCCTGGTCCTGTTATCTTCACACCTACCGTCTGCATTGAAGCACACTTCCCGCATGTCTACACTTTCACACCTTCAGCCCTTCATGGAAGCCTCCTGGCCACACCCTGAGCACCACCACACTAGTCCACACTCCACAGCTGATAGCACTCAGCCCTGGACCTCCATGCCCTCGGCCTTATCCCCACTGACCACACCCTTAACCTGGTACTCAGACTTCCCTGACCACACCAGCCCTGCACTGAAGTGTGCCCCATAGCCCTCACTGCAGTCCCCTGACCACACCCACAACCCCAGGACTGAGGGCTTGGACCATTCCCTCAGCATTCAGCCCCCACACATACACTAATAGCCCTTATCAAGGTCCCCCAATAATACCCTCAGCCCTGAACTGAAGGGTCTTCCCTACACCTGCCCACAGCCCCCACTGCATTCCCCGACCACACCCTCAGCTCTGCACTGAAACTCCCTCCATGTAACACAGCCTGGTACAGAAGCCTCCCTGACCACACCCTCAACGCAGCCCACCTCTGTCCATACCCCGGAAGCCCTGAAACTGGATCCCCCTGTCCACACACCCACAGCCCTTACTGAGACCCCTAACCAGAGCCTCACAACTCACCCTCTCTCCACACACCTGCAGCCCCTGACCACACCCTCTATAACCCCCTTGTCTACACACCCACAGACTTGCATTTCCAGACTCCCAGGTACTATGCTGTGACACCCCTGTGTTGAGACTCCCATCTCCTCCACTGCAGCCTCCTGACCACACCCTCAATTGTGTCCTCAGCAACTATCTTCCACCTCTCCCCTTTATACTAGAGCCTCCAGTGACCACAGCCTGGATCCCTGCCTGCCTAGCTCCCTTCCACTACCACTGGCCTTAACACTGAAAACCCTCTCCCGATCAGCCCACTTCACCCATCCCTAAGTTGTGGCTTTGGGAACTGAGAGCACCCACAGCTCCTACATTGCAGCGACTCCATGGGCCCAGGCTCCCCTTCAAACAGCACTCCCCTTCCCTGTCCCTGCACTGCGGTCTCCCACCAGGGACCTGGAGGAGACCGGCACTTTGTTCACTAAGGGTAAAGTCTGAGGGAGTTTGAGTGCCACGGGATGCTTGTCCCAGGGATCTTAGCAGGACCCTGCACCCGTGCTCTCGCTCCTGTCTGTGAAGATGGATTCTTGGTAATGGCAGGCTGATAAGGTGGCACCAAGTCACATTCCCTAGTCCCAGGGGTCTGCAGGCTCCTCTGGGACAGCTGGAGTCATCAATCAGCAAGCAGTTGGGGGTGGGGGTGGGGTGGAACACTCGGGCCCAGGGCAGGGCCGCTCAGTTGGTGTCCTCAGCTCAGGACCGGGGTTGGGACCGCTCCCACGCCGCTCCCACCCCACCCCCTTCTTATCGTGCTGGATACTAACTAGAGTAGCTGGCGCCGGGATTTCCTACCGTTTTCTACCTCGTGGCTGCTCCTACAATGCGCGTTCGATGGACAGGACGCAGAATGAACCGATGGTCGCAGGAGACTTGGGCGACTCCGCAGCTCTGCTCCCTGCCGGCTCTGGGGCGGGACTGCAGCCCGGGCGGTTCCGCCGTATTATCCCTTGTTTCTTGGTCTCCATAGAGACGGCGAGCCCCACCTTCGGGGCTGTCTCGGCTAGAGAGTGACCAAGGTCACACTGGCTCCACCTACCCGACCCCGCCTTCTCCCAGCTCCGCGGGGGGCGGAGCTGCTGCAACAATCTCATCCCGCTGCTCCCCGGGCAGCTCTGTGGCGGGGGAAGCCAGAACTTTGTAGTTCTGGCAGTCCTCGGAAGACCCCCATCCTGGCCTCCGCCCGAAGTTCAAAGCTGGTCCCCACCTTCAGGGGAGATCCAGCTTTCCAGAGCAGCAACCAAAAAGGCCTTTGGTGGGGGCTGGGCGGGGGCAGGAGGGGGACGGGCCGGGGCGGGGCGGGGGAGACAGGCAGAGGAGTGAGGAGGTCCCTTCCCTTAGTGACATTGGGTCTAGAGCTGGCTCAAGACCACAGCTCTCCAATGAACGTGTAGCATCCCAGGTCACAACTCCGGGTCACTGGGGGCGAGAGGGGACAGTGAACGAATCCTGAGTGCTCCGGGATCTACACGGACGTCTGTCTTGCGGCCGGGGAAAAGCTCCTGGACCTCCTGGGTCCGCGTCCTCATTCATTCCGACCCCACCCCGGTATTAGCCTCCGCATCTCCGCTTCCGCTGCTGCCTTCCTAACACAAATGCTGCTTTCCTCCTCTCTCCAAGTGCAAACCCTATCTTCAAGAAAAATAACCTCCACTAGGGAGCTTCTAGGGCCTTTCCCAACCAGGAGCCTGGTACTTGAGTTTCTCCATATGACAATCTGGATGGCCACCCAATGTGAGGGACCCACCTCACCCTCTGCTCCTAGGCCAACAGGCAATGATGCGGCTCCAGGAGGGCCCGTGACCCCTGTCATTAAGAAAGTGTGCACCAAGTCCGCAAAAGCATAAAAAAGTTTATTGGAGCATCACAGCTGGTTGGGCGGGTATTGCTGAGTAGTGGAGTGGGGAGTGGGGCCGATCCCGCCGGCCCTTAGGGGCCCCTAAAGTGCACTCGGTGCGGCGGGGGTGGGGGTTTTGCATAGAGAGTCGGTCCCGCAGCTCCTCCGCCATCCCTGCTTCTCCGCCCAGCTAAGCCAGATCAGCCTCGGAGCCGCCCCGCGCGCGGGGCTCGCCGCTGCTCGGGCTCACGAAAACAGCGGGCGCACGTGCCTGCAGCGCCAGCCCGGGCTCTCGGGGCCTACCCACCGGGGAGGCCAGAGCGGCGCTGCCTAGGCGCGTCTGAGCCACTGGGATCTCGTCCAGGGACTCGGCAGACGCCGAGTGATAGACTCCTGCAGTGCTGGCGTCCGCGGAATCCGACGACGAGCTGGAGCGGCGGCCGGGGGTCCGGGGCCCTATGGAGTTGGAAGAGAATGTTAAGACTAGGAGCTGCCACTCACTAAGGGCCCTACCTTTTCCTCCCTCGGAGCTCCCCGAGCAGATTCCGGTCAGAAAGGGGCGCTCACCCGGCAGCCTGGGCAACTGGGGCTCTCGGTCCAAGGTCCCAGAGGTCGGTACCTTATACATGCGCCGCTTCCTCTTTTTCTGCAGAGACAGGGGGAAGCCTGAATAACCCTTCCCTAGACCTCACCTCGCCAAAGGACTTGGAGGAGTGGAAAGGGGTAGAGGCTTCTTTCCCATCCCCTTCCACCTGGGCAGGAGCCCAGCACAGTTCCCCCTACCTGGGGTCGTATCCGGGGGGGCAGAGCGAGAGTCTCTGGGGAGGAGGGCGGTGGAGGCTCCACTTGGCCGCGGGTGGCAAGGAATCGGGAGGGACTGAAGGGGAAGTGCGAGGGTAAGTGCTGGATGCTGTTGTTCCTTCAAATACCACCCTGTTGGAGGTTCTAAAATAAGCCTCCCTTCCTAACTGGAAGGAGGTATTGATCTGTCCAAGGCCACATTGGGCTGGACCAAGCCCCATGCCTTGGCTTTGGCCTAACTCCTTTCTCCCACCTCATTGCCACACCAGTGGGAGATGTGAGGTGGCCCTTGCCCAAGTTGCACTCACTTGGCATTCACTTCAGCAGGCCTGGCCTGGCCAGAGGGCTCTGGGCGCACATGGCTGAAGGTCCGCATGTAGAGCTCCATCTCCTGGGGAAGGTGGAGGTGAGGGAGGCTGGGAGGCCAGGTATGGGTCCAGGGCCTCCTGGGTCCTTAGGTCCACTCTGTCTAGGACACACCCCCTTACTGTTCTCTCTGGGAGGTGTGGGCGAAGAGGTCTAGGCTTCCCAGTTATGCTGGGAAAACCCCAATGCAGAATGAGGCTTCCTGTGTTTGTACCTTATCCCAGCCCCATTGTTTTCCTCACTTCAGTCAAATTCCACCTCCTCCGGGAAGCCTCCAGCCTCATAGGTCCAATGTACCCGGTCTAGAGCTGCTCTGGCCAAGTTGGGGCGGGGGGGGCGGCAAAGAAGGACTCAGAGAGGCCTCCTGCTGCTCGTCTCCTTCTAGCTCTTCAATCTCTGAACCAACTTTTTTCCCTGGTTGGGAGACCTCACACACTCGCAAGTGCACCCGCGGCTGCAAGGCTACATGCAGAGATCCATGGCTCCCTGAGAGCTGAGTCCTCAGCGTACCAGACACAATCTCAGCTGCTGGAGGGAAGTGGGGGGATGAGTGGTCTCCCCAACTTCTGTTGGTAAAGGGAAGGCAATAAGTGGTGGAAAAAACAGCGCCATGATCCCACCTGGGACCAGACTTAGAGGTGAGTTCTCTGTCTTGTTTAGTTGCTGATCCTCGCCCTGACCGTTGGAGCAGCAGATCCAACGCCTGAAAGTGAGGCCAAGAGGTAGCAGGAGTGGCCTGGGCTTGCACCCTAGCACGCAGCATGCGCCCCTGCCGCGCCCAAGAGGACTGCAGGTGAGGAAACAAAAGCCAGAAAAACGGCCAGAGATGGGAACCTAGTGAAGGATGTAGGGCGGAGCCAGGACGAGGCCCCGCCCCCATCAGGCTGGGGGCAGGGCACCGGACAGCTGTCGCTGGCTCGACAGTTGTTTCCATGGAGACCCAGGCGTCCTGACTAATGCAGAGAAGACACTATAACAGCAACGCCGTCTCTAAAACAAGCCTATGTTTGGGGGCAACGGCTTCAGAGTGAGGCCCCTCCCGCATTCCAGCTCAGGGTGGGGGTGGGGAGGCTGCCTGCAGGACAGCCCTAGCAGGTCTGGGGGATGAGCCCAGCCAGTCACGGGTTGGCTACACAGATGTTGAGAAGGAGGCCCCAGGCAAGCCCTGTGTGCAACATCTGCTCAGGAGAGCAGTGTTGGAGAGAGTGTGGAGGTGCCAGCCTGAGGAGAGGAGCCTTGGGAAAGGGGAAGGGGTCAAAGCCCAATCGCAAGGACTGGGACATCAAGGTAATCCTTCCCCTCTTCACCAGTGTGGACTTAGCACCCCTCCAGGGCTCAGGAGAGAGGAGGCAAAGCCTACCCTGGTGCTCCTGGGTTCCAGAAGGGGAGGACTGACGGCAGCAGAGGATCTTCCCAGAAGCCTGATGGGTCATAATGGGACAGGAGCCAGGCCCTAGCCAGTTGGGGAGGTTTGAAGGTGCCACACCAGGGTGTCCCCATTCAAACTCCCCTCCTCACAGCTGTCCCTACAATCCTGAGACCTTCAAAACATGCCCATTCCTGAATGGTATAATACATGGCACCTCTCCACCTCAGCTCTCCTCTGTTCAGTGGGACAAGCACACCCCTGCTCCCTCTGCGAAGGTCTCCCTCAGGTCATTTTCAGATGATATTAAGTGCCCTGGCTGCTGGCACATCTAGCCTCAAAGCCTAAGCAGGCAGTAACTGCAGAGCCAAGGCCCTGAGCCTTTGAGTTTGGGGATCCCAAGACCAGCCCAAATGGGCACGGTTGTGAAGCTTGAAGTCTCCTGCCTACCTCTCTGAGCTTGTCTCCTCTGTGAAGTGGGGTGATGCCCACTCCCAGGATGGCTGCCACTGTGCTTACACGGGTTCAGGGCCCAGCACTAGGGCAGGTACACAGCAGTGTGGCAGGAGTTGGGGGAGGTTTCTCCACTAACAGCCATCACTCCCCCAGGCCTTCCCAGACCTGGCAGCCTGGCCCACCCCGTGGCAATGAGAAGAGGAGAGGTGGGGTCCCAAACCCTTCCTCAATCCACCCACCAGGCTGTGTTTGTGTACAGTTGCCATGAGGACTTTGGATCCAGAACTCAGCCTTCCCAACAAGGCCTGCCTGGGCCCCCTGCCTTCCCAGTCCCTGGGGGCTCCAAGGACAGGACCACCCCACCCCCAGCTGTTGACCTCAGGAAGCCAAGGGGCGTGGGAATGGGGATAGGCTGATCAGCAGCTGGGCTGGCCAGGCCCCGAGCCTGGGCTGGAGGATTCCTGCTTCAGAGTGTGGAGACCTTAACTCTTCCTAGACCCAACTTTTTAAATCTTTCTTGGCCTCAATTTGTTCATCTGTAACATGGGGATAGTAGCATGATCTGCCTCATGGGCTGTTTCAAGATTTAAATGGGGTAATGGGTATAAAGGCTCAGGGTCACAGGTGGAGAGAACTAATGGCTCCATCCTGGTGACCCAGTCCTTGGTCCATCCCACTCCTCCTTCAGCCCCACCCTGCCCACTTCCAGGCTCCCACTTTCTGTGCCCTCCAGCGCATGCTCGGAGCCTTTCCCCTGGGGTCAGGGAAATGCAGGGCTCCCTCTGTCTGTGCCCACACTTGAACAAGCAGGCACATGCTTAGTACATACTTGCCCTTGCCCCTGCTGCCTCCAGCACCCCCTCCCCTTGCTGCTATTCCAGGCCTGCTTCCTTCTGCCCTGTCTTGTCATTGACTACTTGCTGCATAGCCCACCACCCCTCCCACCCCCCTTTTCCCACTCCCTCAGCATTCTGGGACACTTCTATACCTGAATAGGCCGCATCTTCAGGGGACATGACTCGAGCTCCCTGTGGGCCCCCTTTGCCTCCTGTGGTGGACGATGCTGCACAATGTACTCATAGGTGGTGAGCTTGTGCCACACTGAGGGGGTGAAGATAGGGCTCAGTGTAATGGAAGAGGAACCCTGGTGTTAAGAAGGTGAGGGAGGGTACCCAGCCACAGGCTAAAACGCACTGTGTCCATACACACTCAGCCACAGAGTGAGACGAGTCGCCATTAGAGAGCCAGCACCAGGAAGGGGCAAAGTGTCAGGGCTCCACAGCCCAAACTGGGAACCTTCCTCCAGCCTAGGGACCCCATCCCCTGCAAGGCAGGTGTGGGTGTGTATGTGAGGCGGGGTGGCACTTACTGAGATAAATGTGGAAGCAGAGAAGGTGGCCAAGCAGGGCTGTGGAGAGCAGGCCCAGAAGGATGAGTAGGGCAGCCAGAGCCAGGATGGCAGGAGCCTGCGTCTCCACAGGGGCGGCAGGCAGGAACATGAACCACACATCTGTGTGATTCTTTAGGACTGCAAGGCACGAGCAGACTGTGCTCAGCCAGGGCTGTGACCAGTGACCAGAACAGGCTAGGGGGTGGGAGTGGGCCTGGAACCCAGACTGACCTTCAAAGTGGCGGTTGGTACGCAGCCGCATGGGGTTGACAAAGAACTCCACAAAGACATAAGTGGCCACCAGCACGAGGAGCAGGACGCCCAGCAAGGCGGATGCCACACTGTGTAGAAAGAGCCTGGGCCCAGCCATGGACAGCTGTCAGCACCCAGGTGCTCCAGCTGGGCAAGGGCCCAGAGCTCAGAAGGGCCAGAGGCTGGGAGCGGGAGCTGGGCCTCTGACCCCACAGCCCTAACTCCTCAGGAAGCCGAAGGCTTCGGGCAAAGGTGAAGACAGGCAGCCACCCCCAACAGGCTCCCCACCTTTCCCTGGGCTAGGAGGAGAAAGATTCCAAACCTACCCTCAGCCCTGTCAGGAGGAAGCCATGGAGAGCCTCACCCTCAGACCAGCGCACAGGTCCCCCAAGTACCTCCCATCCTCACCTGGCCCCATATGAAGGGTCAAGGGCCCTGGTTCTCACATTTCAACATGCATTCCCAGGCACCCCTGTGGCCCGGATCTAGCTCTCACCGGTAGTTCCTCTCGCCCACACAGTTGTTGAGCCACTTGCAGTGGTGGTCAAAGCCGCACACGCATTTGTTGCAGGCGCTGCAGTGCTTGGAACGCGCACTCCTGCGATGGGAGGGGGCACAGAGCGATCGCGGGCTTACCCCACCCTTGGTTGACCATCCTGGCCTGGGGGCAGCCCAGGCTGCTTCTGTGCCTGAAGCGGGTCACTCACCCGCGCCTAAGCGGAGGGCAGAGCGCGTCTACAGGGAGCACGCGCGCCCTCTGGTGTCGGGCACGCTGGGGCGGGACACCTAGAGGAGACAGCGCTTCTGAAGAGGTGGGGAGGCTCGGGAGGGAAGGGAGGTGTACCCAGGGATGAGAGGAGTAGACAGCGTTATACTGTCCCCCTCTGGAACTATGCATATGGGTGATAGTGGTGTGAAATGCAAATGGAGGTTCCTTTCCAAGCAAGGACCCCCTTTCCCCAGTCAGGACACAATGCAGGTATGGAGCCACGTAGCAGAAGAGAGCAAGGCTGCTGGACCCAGGGCTTGCATTGCTCTTCCTGACATCGCCATTGTTTTTGAGTCTCTGCTTCCCTGCCAGACTGTGGGAATTTTTCTGGCATTCTTCCAGAAAACTCCAGTCTATCTGGTTTAAGCCAAAGGAGCCAAAGGGAGCAGGGCAGGCAGATATCTGGGTGAGCAGCAAGCAGTTCACCACAGGGGATAAGATGAGGGGAGGCCAAGTTAGGGATGCAAGTGAATCTCCCTGCCCCAGGGCAGAACCAGGAAAGCCCAAAGGAGAGTGGAAGGATAAGTTTCAATCCCCTTTCGCAGAACAGAATGGAGCCCTGGAACAGGGAGCAACTGCCAGAGCATCCACTGAGGAACAGGACACTGACTGGTGTCTAGTGAAGGAAAGGACTGTCTGATGCCTAAGTCCTCAGCATCTTAACACCACTGGCTCTTTCTCTGTCCTATGGACAGAACCCCTTCAATAAACTGCCTGGGTCTTAATATTAAAAGTTGCTGGGGGGGAGCTAGCCTTGAACCATACCCAATCCCAGATCCCCTTCTTAAGGCTGAGAGGCTGGGATGCTCCAGGGAAGGGCCTAGAGAGGCAGTCTGGACCAGCCAAAGGGTTTGAACTCTGTACATTCTAACCCCTCAATGTGACCTGGAGTAAGTCATTTGGCTTCTCTGGGCCTCAGAGTTGTACATAAACAAGGATAACAGTATATTGGCTCCAGCTTCAGGCAGGCTGGGTTGTGAATCTGGCTCTGCTGCCCAAGAGCCATATGACCAACCTCAGCCCTTCTGAGCACTGGATTCTTCCTCTTCTGTGAAGTGAGAAAGATGTTACCCACCCTGCGGGGTGGTTGTTCATAAGCACTTAGCACATGATAAGTACTTGGGTGTTAGCTTCTGTTAGTTCCCGTCCCTGCCCATACCTGGGGATGCTAGTGAGAGAAGGGGGTGGTTACTGGCAGAGTTAGTCATTAGCAATGTTTGTAGCAGTGCCAAATGTTTCCTACTTTAACTGATGGAAATGCTATTCCTCATCTTCTGCTTCCAGGCACCTTCTCCTCACCTTCTCCTTCACCCAGTTGTCTGTCACTCCACCAAGATTCTTGACTGTGTGAAATACAAGGGTTCTGAGGCTTCAGGATGACTGTAAAGCCTGGGCATGCCCCTGTCTGCCTTGAGCTCCCACTGGCAGTTCCCCGGGTGCACTCATCGGCCACACACACCCAGTCCACATGCACTCACACATCCACGTCGCACAAGTTGCAGTGTAGGTCTTCAATGACGTGTGCATGTTGGCTGCGGTTGAAGATGGGCAGAGGCCCTGCATAGCTCTTGTCCCGCACATTGGCATCTGCTGGATCGATGGAAACAGCAGTCAGGTGCACCACGAGGTGGCCAGCAAAGATGGCGCCCATGCACTGGCCCAGCAGGTTAAAGACTCACTCCACACTGCTGGCTGAGAGCCCACCCCTGCTTCCTGTGGCCAAAGAACTGTTCTCTACCTGTATGCAATTCCCCAGTGCAGAGACTCTGCCTGTGCTACCTCCTATCTCCAGTCCCCCAAGAGCCTCCTTGTCAGACATCTCTAGCATACCCATGCCCTAGATGGAAGAACAGATGGGGCTATCTGGTAATGGAGCTCACAACCCAGCACTGCTGCTGTTGAGGAGACCAACCACAGGGCCCTGGCCTCACTGCCCCAAACCTGGTGCAGACCCTGGCTGGTCTTACCTCAGGATTTGACCTGTTTTCAGATTCTGAATGGTGAAATAAGACTGAAAGAGATAGTTCTCTAAGGTTGAAGGACCCAAAATATAAGTTCTAAGCTCATTTATCTTGCTTCTGAGAAGGATGCAAACATCCCCTCCCAGAAGCCAGGCCAGCTGGAGAATCACTTGCAAACAGAGTCTCATAGACCCACTGCCTCCCTAGTCTAGAGTTCAGGTCCTCGGAATCCTGGGGCTGAATGTCTGGGATAGCCTGACATGTGTAAGGGCTGGCCAGTGGGCACAAGGCCAATTCCTGAAACACAGATCTTCCAGGATCTATCTGCTCAGCAACTGGACCAAAGCCTGGGCACAAGTATGCTGACAACTTACTGCAAAGTGAATGTGTAAAACTTTACAAATAGATTCCACCCAGTCAGCTATCCACCCTCCATCTAGTTATTCATCCATCCGTCCGTCCTTTTGCTAGCCAGTCACATATCTCTCTATCATTTATCCTCCATCCATAAGCTATCCAACCTCCTTTTTTCTTCCTCCTCCCAGCAGCCAAATTTTCTTACACGTCTGCAGGAGCCAGGCTCCGCCCTAACATGCTGTACCAGAGCTGACAGAGACAATCCTGTGACCCACCACAACCTCTCTATCCCTACAGCCTTGGCTCTGGATCAGGCCTTCACCTCTTGCTTGGGCTATTCCATAGTCTCTGGACTCTGCTCCTCCTGTCTGGGTCCCCTTGAGTGTACTCTTCACTTGGTCCCAAAGTGAGCTCTGAAAGCTTAAACTTAAGGCCTTGCCTGCTTAAACTCCTGCAGTGGCTTTCAATGGCTCTCAAGCTAAAGTTTACTCTTCAGGTTCAATACTCATGGCCCCTTTCATCTGGCTCCTCTCAAACCTCTTGGTATTACCAACCACTACTCCTCACCATTCCAGCCTCTTTTCAGACACACTGATATGGGCAAACATTTAGTTTCCTGCCTGCTTCAACACTTCTCCCACCCCCCACCCCCTGGTTCATTCATTCAACTATTTACTGAGGTCTTTCTCTACATCAGGCACTGAGGCATATGGCAGGAACAAACAGACCTGGTCCCTATCCCCAAGGAGCCCACAGTCTTGCAGGAAACACAGATGTTAATCAAAGAGTAGGTTGATTGTGATAAAGAAAGTTCATGGGACTATGTAAGTTTGTAACTGGGTGACCTCATCTGGTCAAAAGGGATATGGAAAGCCTCCCTGAGGAAGTATTATGTCAGCTGATACTTGGAGTGGCACAGGAACCAGTAAGAAATATAAAGAGGGAAGGGGGCCTGGCTGGGTGCTGGGAGCAAGCAGAGCCCCAAATAATGGGGTGGTTGATGTGTCTTTCCAGCTCAACTCATTGGTACCATGCCAGAAAGAAAACCTATGTCACCAAATTCTGGCTTTTCAAAACCAGAAATCTGGATTTGTGTCTGGATATATGAGCCATCTCATTTTTTTAATTTTTAAAATTTTTAAATGCTGACAAGCAAACAAGTAATTTTTAAAATGTACCTGCTGAAGAAGCCCTTCAGATATGTCTATTTAGTGTGTTCATTATCACTCAATTTAAAAAAATCTATAGGCCCAACTGGCCCATGGACTGCTAGTTCTTGACTTCTGACTTAGCTGGGTATTGGGGTGAAGAGAGGGGCTAAGGGCTTCCACAGAGACCAGTGTTGTCACAGCAGAGAACAACAGAGGAAATAAAATAAGAAGATGCTAGGGAAATGGGCAGAGTCAAGAATGTGGAGAGCCTTGAGGATCTTGAACCTTATGGCAGGAAGAAGCCATTACAGGGTATTAGCTGGGGAGTAACTTTACCATTTTTGTTTTTTGAAAGGGCACTTTGGCTGCAGAGATAGAGACAGACTGGCTGGAGTGATAGCATGTGCAGGGAGACCTGTTTGGAGACGAAATGGTCATCTAGGTAAGAGAGGCAGCTGGCAGTGGGGAGAAAAGAGAGCAAATACAATACCTTTTAGGAGGCAAAATCAACAGGACCTGATGACTGACTGGATACAGATGATGAAGGGAGAGGGTGGAGCCAAGAATACCTATCAAGGCCAGGAGGAAGGAAGGTGGGGAGCTGAGAGCAACAGGAGCGCATTTGGGCCCTCGGTGAAGTTGGGCTACATGGCCCTCCTCCTGCACCCACAGTCTACTGTATGAGTCCCTACCCTCTTACTTACCACGTGATGATCTCCATACTACTAGACTTTCCTCCAGTTGGAAGCTGAGCACCGAGAACTGGGGCCCTGTGTTCTCATTTTTGCAACCCTAGGGCCCAGGCCAGTTCTAGGCACAAGGTGAGTGCTTGGTACACACAATGACCCTACTTCATTCTTCAGGGGCCCTAAGGGAGCCTTCAGAAGGAAGGTAGCTTTGATGGGAGGACACAGAACCATTCAGGCCAAGAAATGGGAGTGCCAAACCAGGTGGTTCTGGAGCCTCCAGCATTGCCCAAAGCAGTAAATATGGAGAAGACAAAACCCTCAAACCATCCCACTTGCCTCTGAGCCAGGCTGCCTGGGCAGTCCTTCTGGCCTCACTGGATACCAGCTATGTGAACTCAGGAAGTCATTTAATCTCTCTAAGCCCCAGTTTCTTTTTTTTTTTTAATTAAAGTCAGGGGAACACCTTCCTTACAGATTATTATGAGGATTGAATGAGATCATCCATGTACAGGGTTGGCACAGTGCCTGGCACATATAGGTGCTCAATAAATTCTAGTTACTTGTGTTTACTATTATTTGCTCTAATTCTACTCACTCCAAACCATGTGGTTATTAATCAGGTACCTTGATGGCAGAAACCCAGGTAGTCTTGAGTGAGTGGCGTACCCATTCCAGCTCATGGGAGGAATGTCCCATGAAGCATTCTACTTAGTAGTACTGAATAAGCCCTGTGGGTTACCTCAGAGGAAGTCTAGTTTTCAGAGTTGTCCAGAAAGTCCTCCTGTGACACTGCTGGCATCTGAGACCAACAACCTTCTCTAGAGTCTTTCTCCACTCACCTGCCCTTGTCACCTACCAGCCAAGGGCTCTATGGTTTCCCAAGAGAGCATGCTCACATTCATGGCTCATACATTCTGGTGCTCACACACACATCCGGTGTGCTCCCTGTTCCCTGCCTGGGAAGCAGGCAGGATCCTTCCTGTCAGATAGAAGAGGAGGCTGAGATGTGCAGTTGGCAGAAGCTGTTCAGCCCTGTGCAGCCCTGCAAGGGCTGAGTTGAAGGATGCTGAGTCTACGCCTGAAACTTTCAAATTCATCCCTGTTAACTCCTTTAGCTCACCCTAGGCTACCTTCTCACAGAGGCCCAAGGAATCGTCTCCATGAAGCATACACACCAGGGCACATTCTCATGGGCACCCTCTGGACTGGGGCACATAGCCACATGCTGCACCTTAATCCTCTGTTCCTGGGGGTTATGGCCAGGGCAGGGACAGTTACATCATCAAGCTCAGGCAAGTGCATGTTTGTCATAGTTCCCAGGAGTTTCCAGGGCATCTTTATCCCTCCTCTTGTCAGTTCAACCTTCCTTACCCTAAAAGAGTCTGACTTATAAAATCAATAAGCTCCTAAACAGTCCTGGGTATGGCATAATTATCTCTGTAAATAAAACCATATTTTAAATATACCAGGAACTTAATATGTAAAGGAGGCTACCATGATTCTTTCCAAAAAGTGAAAAATTATTTCATAAATGGCACATCTTTTTCATCCTTTGTTGAGCTCTGGACACAATTAGCTTAAAAAGAGCTTTAAGGTTCTCAACTATAACTTGCTCTTGTGGTACCTCAGTTGATGAGGTTCCCATCTGTGTGGGGCTTTCAACGCTCCAAGGTTCATTAGGTCTTTTCCCTCATCCAGTCAGGCAGAGAGGTCAGATGGGTGTTGGAGGCCAGCAGGTAGGCAGCTGGAGCCCGAGGCAGAGACAGGACCCATTTGCATTGTCTGAGGCTCTGGAACCCAGCTTCAGGCCTTGCCCATGTCCCTCCATCCACTGTCTGCACTCTCCCATGAACCAGCCCCATACATTCCCAAGGATACAGCATAGCCAGCAGGCACCCAGTGGTGAGGCAGGAGGGGAACTAGGACCCCAAAGCCAATCACAGCAAAGAAGAGGTACAGCAGCCAGGCCATAATCTGGAGTGGGTGCGGGGGCCAGCTCCACCCATTCCGGCGGGACCGCTGGCCCTGCAGCTCCGGGGAGGGTCCGCTGGCCTGTGCAGGTGCGGTCCACACATTCTTCTCAGGGGCTGTCTTGTTAGAGGGCTTGTTGCAGATGTTCATCTCCAGAGGGAGAAAGAGTAGAGACAGCATTAGCCTGAGGAGGCCCAGGCTGGAGCCCAAAGCCTTATGCCTGCAGTCAGGTTTCAGCAGGAGGGGCAGGCTGGAATGTGAAGCTCTCTCCTAGTTACTCCACAGGGGAATCCAGGACCCTAGCATGAGGAGCCTGATATGGGAGAAGGGCAGCAGAGTGCTGGCCTCAAAGCCCCAGAGCGAGCTCTGGCCCCAGCCCTAGCCAGGACAAGGTAGGAGGGTCCAGGGTTTATTTAGGACACAGTGTGACTGCCTGTTACTCAAAGTGCTCTGTTACCACAGCCATCAAAATTAAACCCAATAAGACATGTTCTCATCTGGTAACAATATCAGGCTGGAGCCAGAGTGATGAGAACACATGCTGATTCTGTTAGGATTAGTCACCTCTGTCCCGAGGCCCAAATGCAAGTGTCAGAGATGGCCCCCGTATGCTCTGCTAAGGGAAATAGGGAGTGGAAGTACTCAGGAGAGGGATCTGGCCTCTGGTCCTAGCAAACATATACACGTTCTTCAAGGACTGGGGGACCCTGAACCATCTCCCCTGTGCATCAGATAAACTGCCCGGGCTTCTTGGCTGAAGAGAAGACAGCACACAAGAGAGAGGGAAGGATTCCTCACTGGTCCCTCCAGCAGTGGAAATGACCATGTATCTCTAAGTAAACCTGGGCCTAGTGCAATGAGAACAAAAAGGTGAGCTGATGCCTTTTGACTCACTTGAGGGAGCTCAGGGAAAGACAAGCATTGTCCAGAGCCAAACCACCAGATGGCAGCACTCTTCCACCCCCATCCCACCATCCCTCCGCCCAAGAGCTGACCTGGTTGTCAAAGGATATGTGCAGAGCAGACAGGTGGGCCTAGTATGACAGGAGAAAGAGCCCAACCCCCAGTATCTTCTGAACCTGAGGTGAAACCAGAGCCTGGGCAGGCAGTGCCCCACTTGGGTAGACAAGCCAACTCGGAGCTCTTGGTGGGAAGATCAAAATCCCTGGCAGCTGGACTCTCCTTTCAGGAGCCCATGCCTTTTGGCCAGGGAGTCTGACTAAGACAAAGGGTATGGCAGGACCCTTTCCCCCACCAGCACATCTGCCTATAACACCTTCCTCACTTCTCAACTCAATAAAATGTGCCTTGATCTTCAGAGTCCACTGCGAGCACCACGTCATCCAGGAAGCTTTTCTTGATGTTCCAAGTGAGTCAGGGGATCTTCGCACTCAGTTTTTATTGGGCAAGTCACTTGGCCATTTGGTACACTTTGCCATCTCTATGTCTGCCCCCGTGTTATGCCAGCTTCCCCTAAGGGCAGCAATGGTACTGTGATTCATCCACCTCTGTTCCCCCACATCCCCTCCCCCAAACATGCAGAACATACCTTGTACATAGTAGGTGCTCAGTAATGTTTGCTGACTTGAAAGCATCTGAAATAAAAGGAAATATGGGCACAGTAAATGATGTGAAATCCTGACCCACTCAAAGCGTCCTACCCTGTTCTGCCCTGCCTTCAATCTGTATAGTCACCAGGCACCCCCACCCCGACCCCATCTCTCCCCGCCCCATGGCTATTACCCTAACTGCCAAACATTCACACTCAGCCATTCTGCCCTTCATACCACCCAAGGCCCAGGGCTTCCCGCAAACCAAACCTGGAGATTCTGAGTAGCCTCATCCAAAGCTAAATGGAGTGACCCTAGTTTTCTCCCAGGGACTCAACTGGAATCCTTTGGTCATTTGCTTTGTCTTCAGTAAAAAGCAATGAAGGGTGGGGAAAGAACCCCAGCTTTGGAGGAAACAGATCTAGGTTCAACTCCTGGTTCTTTCCTTACTAGCTGAAGGGCTTGAGTTTCTTCATCTGAAAAACAGGGGTAGAGATGCCCACCTAGGGCTATATACAGATCAGCAACACGCATTGACACATAAATGCTTCCTAAAGGGTAGACATTATGATTACCCTTAAATAGCCCTCTGGGGTATCCTCATCTCTCCAGACTGAGGAGGCTACTACATCTGATATCCTATGAGGTTTTATGAGGTTTGTGCCCAAAGTGACGGGGTTGATTGAAGTTGCTTTCTTAAGTCAGTAGTCCCAAGGAACACATTGTCATAAGAGCTAAGCCACTGGGTTGTCATTCTAAACTTCTCAGATTTGATCAAAGATGACAAAGGTGATCAAGAAGCTGGGGTCACTTTATTTGGAATGTCCCCAGAGGTAGCAAATCTTTGTCCTTGATTTTTGGAAACAAAGGTCATCAGGTCAAACCCAGTGAGTACAGTTGAGCTGGGCAGTTCTGCTCAGGAAGACAAATCTTTGTGGCTCCAACACAGGTTCTCTGGTGATCCAACAGGGCAACTTCTTTGAAGGGAACCCATCAGTTGGGGTCCCTAAATCCTGACTTTCTCCTTGCCATCCTCACTCCTGAATAGCCCTACACCTTGAGGTAGTTTATAAAGAAAGAAGCAGAGGCACATGGCTGACTGACATGTCCCCACTGCTGGAGTGGACTGGCAGTGGCCACAGGCACTCCCCAGTGCTGCTGTGTCCCTGATGCCTGAGGCAGGAGAAGTCACCATTTGAGGCCAGGGGCCTACCACCAACAGCCTTAGAGACTGTTCTGATTCCAAACCCCAATACCCTTGGCCCAGAGAGTACCACTTGTATGAGCCCGTGGATGGGGGGTGGTGCTCTTAGGTCTAAGTCCCCTGCAGAAGTGGCAGCACTCTGGAGTAGACTGAGGTGCCCAGGTGGCATGCCACCTGCATTGAAAGTCAGCCAACCCACTCTTAACTGATGACATTTTCCCTTATGGAGTCGGTGGCCACAAATTATTTTGACCTCCAAAAAAATTTATTAAAAGGGCTCTGAGGTAGGAGAGAATAGGAGATAGGGCTTTAAGCATGGATGGGACTAAGCACTGTCATCAGACCCAGGGACTTTTCTGGCTGTCCTTCCCCTCTTAGCACTTCCCTAGGAGATCAGACTAAAAGACGTGTTGTCCTGCTCCCAGACACGGCCAGCCTGTGCGCTCATATCTTGGCCCAGCCCCCTTGTGCGCTAAAGATGTAAACACCTATGAGACCAGGTTCCTGCCCTCAGAGGATTGCTTTCTGCGGGCCCAGACAGGCTCAGACAGATATCAGGGAAGTGGGTGAATGGGTATTTTGGCAGCCTAGTATGACAGGACACAGAGTGGATGGGTTTGGGGTCAGAGAGCAAGATTGACAGAGAGAGAGAGAGAGATGAGCTCTGGGAAGTCGCAGGGTCAGATCCTAGGTTGAAACCAAGTCCCCCTAAAACCAAGTTCCCTTACTGAAATTGTGATTAATCTATCTAAAACTTTGTTCTCTTTTGAGTCTCCTGTAACTTCAATCTTGTGCTAACTGAAAACAAAACAGAGTCATATGACTAAAATTACTGAAAACATGTACTAAAATGGTTACTATAGATGTCATCATCAACACAGAAACTCTGGTTTTCTCTCCAGTGCAAGATGAACTAACAGATCCCTGTGCCATGGACCACCTGGATAGAAAATCATAAACCAGAGACTAGAATACTCCAGAAACTACGATTAAGACATGTCACAAAAATGTCATAAGATGATGATTAATCCCAGCCTCTTGTTCTTTCCCTTAAAAAAAAAAAAAAAACCCTAACTCAAAGACCATGGTGAAGTGGACCTGAGGCATATCTCCCACTCCCTCGCTTGGCTCTCACTCCCTGCAATAAATGCTGTACTTTCCTTCACCACAGCCCGGTGTCAGCAGATTCGTTTTGCTGTGTGTTAGGCAAGCAGATCCAACTTCAGTTCCGTAAGAAGGTGATGATAGGAGGCCAGGTGAGTAAGCTTAGGTACTACTAAAAGAGCCATGGGGAGTCACAGAAAATTTAAACAGGGGAATTGACATAAAGGTGATGGGTGTTATAGAAAGCTTTCTATTCACAGTGGGAAGGAGGGCATGAGCAAGAAGAGAATGGACTTGGGGGAAGTGACACCACAGCAGACTGGCCCCAATCGCCCAGCAGCCCAGTGCTTTGGGAGGAGATGGGCAGGAAGTGGGGGTGAAGCCCACAAGTTCCCCAATGCCTGCCCGATGACCCGCTGCATCTTTGGTGGGCTGACAGGTATGTGTACCTTGATAAAAGATTCTCAAGTACCTTCAGCTGCCATAGAACAAACCACAGAGTTAAGTTGGTGGAGACAGAAAGAAGGCAAGAACAAAGAGGCCCCATGGAATGTTAACAACCAAAGGTAGTCACTGGCCTGGTAAGCCCAGGGCTCACCTGGCTTCTGAGGTAGGCTGAAAGGGCTATGCAGGTCTCTCCCTGTCCCAAAAAGGTGAAGGCCATTGCTGGGATGACAATAATCTATGTCAGCCTTCACTTTTACACCTAAAATAGCATTTGCAAAATAATGTCAGGCTACTTTAACTCATATGCCTAATTTAAGTGAGGAAAATCCTACCATTTCAAGTTCTCATTATGAACTAGAGAACAGTTACCTGACTGGTACACTTCTCTCTTGCCCACCTCTGCTCCCACCAAAAAAAAAAATATTTAGGAATGTTGTTCTGAGATTCATGAATAGTGCTGTCAAAAGAACCAGGCTGAGCTGAAAAGTACTAGCCCTGGAGAGGCTGTAGGCATCCCTGCATTTCTGCAAGATGTCTGAGAATTTCAGGAAAGAATCTACTTCATTACTAAAGAGGGTTTGTTGGCGGAGGCCACAGAACTGGAAAGGTAGAGTGACGGGATCAGAAGAGAGGTGACAGGGCCAATGTGGAGTCTTGGAGGGCCTGGAGAACTGAGATACCAACAGGGAGAAACACGTTGGAGCAAGGGAAATGGGTAAGGGCTGGAGATAGAGCCTGCTTCTGGTCCCTTCATAATGCCCACAGATTGAGGAACCTGGCAGGCGAATTTCACAAAGCCATCACTTTGGACCACTCCTTTATTTTTCAAAAAGGTTAGCTGGAAA